ACACACAACACACACAAAAACAAAAGAATGAATACAGTAAAATGAAAATAACAAACAGAAATTCAACCTGTGACTCTGGTATACTGTAGAGATGAAAGAAGGACTAGAGGCATAGAAATCTAGGCAGACTAACCAATATCTAGGTGTTAGCAATTAAAACCACGACTTGATACAAAAAAAAATGACATGATCCAAAAAGACCTTTTTAAGGGTCATTAAAATTAAATTGCCAAAAGTACAAAAGAAAGAATCCTAAAACTGGCAAAAGAGGAATGCACTTAGTTACTTTAGAAGACAAACATATTAGCATAATATATGTCTTAGCAAAGACTGTAATGACCAGAAAGCATGGGCTCATGTATTTGAAAGACAAAACTCTGAGGCAAGATTTCTCTGACAAACAAGGTTATCCTTTAATATTAAAAGAATTGATTGCCTTCTACAATAAGCATGAATTAATTCTATATTTCAACAGTAAAACAAAGCAAAGGAGACCTGAGTTAGAACCCTGGTATCTGTTAGTGTAGTTTGTTATATTCATTATAGAACAAAATATGTACAAATACGTACTCAGTAAGTGTCTTAGTTGGGCTTTCTCTTGCTATGATAAAATACCATGACCAAAAGCAACTTAGGGAGGAAAAAAATTATTTCAGCTTATAGTTCCACAGCACAGTCCATCACTCCAGCAGTGAATGAAGCAGAGACCATGGAGGAGGATGCTTACTGGCTTTCTCAGTCTCCCTTCTTATGGGGCCTAGGACCACCAGCCCAGTGGTGGCACTGACCACTCCCCTTTCCACATCAATCAAGAAAATGTCCCATAGGCTTGCACATAGGCAAGTCTTATCTGGGCATTTTCTTAATTGAAGTCCCCTCTTTCAGAATGACTCTAGCTGTGACAAGTTGACATAAAACTAACCATTACAATAAGCATATCAAGGCATGACTTTACTTTTATGTTTGAATTCTATAAAAATATGTATTGTTGTTGAATTGTGGCATTTTTAATATTATAGATGTTCATAAAGTGAGTGACCTGATTGACACCAGCAAGGAAAATCCTGAGATACATTTGGGGCAACTTGAAATAACTAACCAAAAGACACCAGATGAAGACACGACGAGAGTAAGTAAAACATTTAATGTAAGGTCAAACCATATTGCAAGTATGAACTAATTAGCATGCACACATAAGAAGAATGAATATAGAACATTTCCAGTTAACCCTGGAAGAATGTACTACTTTTCCATCTTGATTAGATGCAGGCTGCAGAGGAACCAGATAATTTTCATCTAACTAAGTAAGGCTACCAGACTCCTCAGCATCTTAAGTCCACTTAACAGCAAAATTCATAGTGTTATATTCAGTATTTTCAAAGAGGGGTAGCCTTTGAAACAAAGGCAATATTATTGATACATAAGGAATTTCCTATCAAAGGGACTTCTAGTAAATTCTGTAAATACTTGTCTACAGTGTGGCTTATGTGGACGCAAAGTCTTAAATGTCATATATGTGGATAATGTTTGCAAGGAAACTAGATCATTAAATGGGAAAGTGCACACAGAAGTATTTAGAGATTATGAAATCATACTTTGGAATATTAGGCAGCTCATTCTAGGAAAAAGTGCTTGAGCACTAATAAATCTAAAAAACTCTTGTTTCAAGGCAAAACTAAAGACTCAACAGGAAGTCTACAAAGGGACAAAATCCCATCATCGTGGAGCATGTCACCAAAAGTTACAGAAAAGCAAGAGTCAGACATTGCATAGAGATGAGAAACTCTATGACTGTAAGGACTGTGGGAAAACTTTCTGTACTAACTCAACCCTCATTAAGCATCGCAGACGAACTCATAACATAGAGAAGCGCTTTGAATGTACCAAATGTGGTAAATCATACCATTGGAAGTCAGACCTCACTTCACACCAGAAAACTCACTGGCAAGAGAGAACCTACATATGTAAAGGGTGTGGGAAAGCCTTCTTCCGTAAGTCTCATCTCAATGCTCATGAAAGAACCCATACAGGTGAGAAACCTCATAAATGTACAGAGTGCAACAAAGCTTTCCATTACAAGTCAGACCTTACACGACATAAAAAAATTCATTTGGGTGAAAAGCCTTATAAATGTGAAGAATGCAATAAAGGTTTTTCCCGCAAGTCAAAGCTCGATATACATCAGAAAACCCACACTGGTGAGAAGCCTTATGAATGTACAGATTGCGGGAAAACCTTTTTCCATAAGTCACAACTCACTGCACATAGGATAGTTCATTCATCTGAGAATTTTTATGAATGTAAAGAATGTAATAAATCTTTCCACTGGAAGTGTCAACTCACAGCACATCAGAAAAGACATACAGGAAGAAGCTTCATGAATGAAGAATGCAGGAAAATCCTCCATGAGTCAGAAGTCACTGGACTTTGGAGAAATCAGGCAGCTGAGGAGCCCTACGAATATGAGGAATTCAAGGAAGAGTTCTACATAGAACCAGACCTTACTGTATTATATCAGGGAAATTCATAATCAAGAAGCTTACAGAATGTAAAGAATATAGGAGAGTTTTCCAGTGCAAATCTGACCTCATTCAACCCTAAAAACCTACACAAATGAGAAGCCACTGTGAAGAATGATGCTCAAGGCTAGCCTTAGCAACAGAGCACCATATGAAGAAAAGCTGGAGCACTGTGTTGACAGAACTCCTTGTGTGGCTTATCTGCCACCAGAGGCTCCACAAAGATGGTATGAGAGAGCTCAGTGGTTAATAGTTCTTGCTTTATTTTGTTCTTTGGTTTCACAAGACAGGATTTCTCTGTATATCCCTGGCTGTCCTTGAACTCACTCTGT